TCGTCATTCGACGCCCGACGGGGTCGCGACCCACAGGTTGAGAACCGCTGCATTAGAGAGAAGCTAGCAATAGCCTCCAATGGTCCACTGGAGAAAAGGATTTTGAAGTGAATGCAATTATCCCATTTACTCCAGCGCTCAATAGAGAACACAGCACTGCAGCTTTTCATTTAAGGGACGTTCCAAAATTAGGGATAAGCAAAGGACACACAACAGAACAGAAGGAGCCAGTTCTAAGGGGACATGAAGTGAATAATCACACAGCTGCCGGCAGGACCTTAAGTCCAAATATAGCAAATGCCAATAAAGCCACATCAAGCTGGTAGAATTTTGTAAGGGTGTGGATGGGGACCAGGTAGCTGCTTTTTAAACCTGGGAAACCAAGGCCTGGTGTCAGACAACAAGCTTAACCAATCTCTTAAAGGAGAAATATGGCGTGAGTGAAAAACACTCATCCCCATATTTCAAGCCGTCTTGTGGCAATGAAGATGTCACAGGTCGGCTCTATTAATTGGTAAGTCAGCAAACACATACCGCTAATCGCTGACTTGCCGATCCTCCCCCTGCAGAGAGTGGTGACTGTCAGTCAGGGCCCCCCACAGGAATTCCCCCCTCCCCTCCCTGTTTCTCCAACACTGACTGAAGGAATGGATGGGGGAGGGGGCGGGCACATCTAGTTCTGCCTCTAGAGAGGCAGAGCCAGCTGTCAATCAGGCAGCGGGATGGATCTCGACAGTATTACACCGGTAAATGGCCTCCTGTGACCCTGAAGAGAGCTATGGCCAAAAAAGGTTAACCCATAGTTCTCTTTTAAGCAGGTGTAGAGGTATAGCCTCTAGAGCAGGGGTCTCAAAATACTGGCCTGGTACTATGCGGCCCATAGCCAGCTGACAAGTCAGGCACATGGTCACAGACCGCTTACCTGACTTGGGGGAGCAGCTACACTGTCTGCATTTCTGTCGGATGCAGACAGCATAGCTACTCCTGTCAGTGCCAGCACTCAGTTCCTTTCAGCCAGCGCTCTGACAGTCTTCACTGAACACTGGCCGAAAGGATGGATTAGTAAGCCAGCCAAAGGTGCAAACCTTACTAATCCACCACTTGATCACCAGGGATTTTGCCTCCTCCCTGCAAAAAACGTCAGGGTGTGTGTGTCCATATCTCTATGTGTGTGTGTATTTCTATGTGTGTGCGTATGTGTGTCGGGGGGTGTATTCCTCTGTGTGCATACTTCTGTGTGTGAGTGAATGTGTGAACTTGTTGGTCCTCTATGATTACATTTAAAACCTGTGGGAAAAAAACACACGCATGTACTGACACAGCATACATGTATACATACCAATATGACACACACAGAAACATTAAACACACAAATATATATACTGACATTGCATACAAAGAAATTATCACAAACACATATACTGACATAAACACACACAGATATTAAACACAGGTAGCATATATAGTTACATTTAATTTGAAGTATGACATTTGGCAAGCAGCCCCCATGGGAGAAAATATTTGTCCAGGGGCCCCTGAGTGAATTGTGTTTGAGACCCCTGCTCTAGAGGGAGCTGGCCCCTTTTTTTGTTTTGTGTAGTGTTCAAACCTCCTGTAGGTGGCAGTATAACCGCAAGTTAAAGATGAGAGCACTGCATCCTCCGATAAACCCTTAAAAGAATTTCACAAGCTTTCCACTGTAGTGCACCTATGATTATGCAACTAGGCTGCTCCAAAGATATTAAGAGATCTAACAGTGACCCATAACACTGCATAGGAAGTGCTGCTTCTTTGTTATGTAGGAATGCTTCACCTGTCAAGGCACTGTAATATAACTTCAACAACAGATGCTTTCCCAAGTGGCAGGGAGACATTCTGTAGAGTATTCGTAAGTAAAAGTTACATACAATCTACTAAAAATATGGCTTATAAAGCATAACAGTGTGCCATGACCATTTGGGGTCTTCTCTGTGTAGCTGCCTTAGCCCTAGAGAAAGATTGATGCAATTTACTAAAATTAAGTTATAGCTTTGGGATTCACACTGTTTATTACAGTACAATAATAATATATAGAAAGAAAAGTGTGCAAACACTGCCTAATCGGCACCAGAATAAAAATACCTAAAGCTTTAAAGTTTACGTAATGTTTCCAGACACAGTATAATAAAAGTGAGTTAGGGGGGCCCTAGAATTCCCATGTCAGCTTTGGGTACACACTTCTACATTTGAGTCTTGCAGCTTTATGTCCAAGGAGCAAGAAGAGAACACAGAAAGATACCCCTGGCATGATCATTCCATTCCACTTGTCCTAATTTGTCCACACATTCACTTGGTATATCTTCCTGTTTAAAAAAAAAACCTGTACATTTATCAAATGGAGGATATGCATTTGCATGACCTAGTTAAAACTATGTGCAAACATACTGTACTATTGTTTTTTTGTTTTGTTTTTTCACTTTGCCCAAGTCCTGCATATGTAAAATGAGTTTCCCTGGGACACCCAACATATTCATTGTAAGTTCATGACTAATGCCCTTTCTCACAGCCACACATGGGAAACAAGGATGCAGAGGTATGTGAACTATGGCATCCCCAGGACCCTGTCAATGTGGCCATCTCCTGTTTGTGCTTATTAGTTGCAAAACCACATGTGTTCAACGCACAGCACATTCACGCTGAATAGAAGGTAGAGGATGCCATGCTTCATGTTATGTTTGACTAACAAAAACTTGGCTTGCTATAAATAAAAAATTAGCAGCAACACAGGAATTATGTTTTTTTTAAAACTCTGCTCACTCAGAGTAAAGATGAATCCCTACTCACACTGTTCATTTTCTCTTTTTTGCTTATTTTGGCAATACAGATTTTTGTTGTACGTTTTCATTTACGCTTGGTTACAGTAATACAGACTTTACATTTCCAGCTGCTACAATCACCTTGCAAGTATTCGGGTTTGTATGCAGCGGAAACCTGAAAGGAATTAACCCTAAAATTATTTTGGAAAACATTAACAGGGTTATTTACAAAAGGGTGAAGAGTTTGGAGAAGGCAGGAGAAGTGAACAATCTAGGACAACATAGCTGAACTGGAAAGTGAGCTGCATGGGAGAATTTTTCCAAATCAGCTATTTTGGCCTAGATTGTTCACTTCTCCTGACTTCTCCTAACTCTTCACCCTTTTGTGAATAACCCTGTAAGTTTTTTTTTTAAATATGCCCATTTGCAAATGAATGGTAACTTTGCTTTACAAGCTTAAAGGAAATTAAATTATTTATTTTTAAAATACACCACATCTGGGGCTGATTTAAATGGCAGCATACTCATGGGAAAAAAAACATCTTTCTAATATTGCTAAAGTTTCCAATAAATTTTAGTAGCAGCATATATACAGTTAGTGTGTCATTCAGTTTAAAAGTATTTAGTATCTATTCTACTGCCAAATATACACCTCCCATGTGTTACTGTATAGTCATACATTTACTGCAAGTTTTTAAAAATTTGATATAATAATCATACCAATTATTCTATAATATTAAGAGTATGGGCTCCTGATTCCTCATGCTGGCATAGCACTTCAAATGTGCTAAAGTGGCCTCCCAATTGATAAGCCACCTTAGCAGGCCCTAAGTGACAGTTTGATGAGAGGCCCCATATTTGCCTAAAATGCAGACTTATCTGACATCAGACATCATTTTTATGCACATTTTCATAATAAATTAATAACTGTCATATTTTCCTGGCTGTAGTGGTTAATAGTAAGCAGACAAATGCATATGACCTATGCAGTGCATTCACCTACACAGAGTTTGCAAAGATCCACAGATCTAAATAAGGCTGCCATTAAGAGGTACATTTATAAGAAGTGGGGAGCACTATAGTTAGATAAGACCTTTGATATAACATTTACTTGTTTAAGTGGTACAGGAGCAGGTCCATTGGCACTGAAAGTGACATGGCTGGAACTGTAAGGTCATGGCTGGCACATGTGGAGAGGTGAGTTGCAGAATGTGACTGGTAGCAGAGGTAAGGTTATAAGATGCAACAGGCAATTCCTTAACTATAGGAAGCACTTTGGTGAAATGTTCCCAAAGAGCCACATGGAGGTGTGTTGAAGAAGGTCCACACAGTTTGCAGCCAAAGGTCCCTCAGCAGTCTATGTCTGCCAGTAATAGTACTCATTACTTTAGATGGGCAGATACAATGTTTACATATTAGAAAGAATATTACAGGATTCAAGTTATAATGGATCTTTTAAAGCTGAACTCTGTGAAAATAAAAAAAGACCCTTGCAGTTGGGCTCCTCCCACACTGCAAGGATTAAATGCTCATTTATGTCAGGGGTACTAATGAAAGCGACTTTTACTTACATAATCCCTCACATCCATGGCACCTGGCGCTCAACTCTTCTCCCTGACACTCCGGGTTGTGGGCAGTCTCTCAGCATCCTCACGTAGTGCCAGCAACGGACAGAGCGACAAAGAGAACATACTATAGCGGTCGGGAGCATGGGAGCAGGTCAGTAAAAGTCCTTTTTTCTGGTACTCTAGGCATAAATGAGCATTTCATCCTTGCAATGCAGGGGGAGGTACGTTTTCCTTCTTCCCGGAGATTGAAATATTTTTGCTCAACTCATATTTGCAGTCTAAAAACAATAGGCTGAGGAGTTTATTTATAAAAATGTAGGCCAGCATATAGTGCCAGTGCTCACTGTAATAATTATACTTGTTAAGGATTATTAATATAGAGAGACAGCAATGCACAGAGCAGGCATGGCGTGTAATAGTGCATACCATGCTCCATTCTGTGCACAAGAGCCCTCAGAAAACATGGTTTTATTCCTTGACTATGGAAGTGTCTTAGTGGTTCCTCAGAGATAACCAAGCAGTGGATAGACTACCTCTGTACACTATATTCCTAAATTGCAAATACAGGGCAGATATTTAAACTAGGTCATCGTTATTTTTCTATACAAAATTGTCCAAAATATTGCTTTCGTTTCAGCTATGTATGTGCAATCTTTAGATTTCATTACATTCCTTTCGCAGGATATCTCCTAATGGCTACAAAGTCAATTCACAAATTATTTTAACAGCTCATATTTAAAACTGCTCTCTAATCTGTATGAGCTAAAATACCATAAGGCAAACTATATTAACACCTGCTCAAACTCTAATGTTCTTACAGAACACTGACATTCCAAACTCTGCATTAGTTCTGACATATGGGGTATGTCATTTCCTTTGAGCGTAATTCAGAAAAATACTGCAAGGGAAAAAATTTGAATTCTAAAATATGACCTAGATAGAGTCTATTAAAATGCATTTGGCTTTCTAATGTATAACCAAATTTGCCTAATGTTACACCTATTTGATCACACTCTACCTTTCAAAGGTCTGTTCGCTAAGCTCATGCTCCGTTCCCTTGTTCTCTGCACCACTACATAGATAGTAAATGATCAAGCATTAAAATGTACAATATGTTTAGTGGTTCAGTAAAAATTGAGGCATATTTAAATTAGGCACATTATACTTGTCAACCTCTTCAGTGCAGTATAGGGTGTGCAAATTATTACAGGGGATTCACACTTCTCTTCCTTTTGCAAACTGGTTATGTAAAAAATACAATCAACTGCAATCACTAGAAGGTAAGAAAATAGATACATCACGTTCCCTCTGTAAGCACACACGCAAAACGAAATTCAAACAGGTTTTGGCTGTTATATGAATGGGCCAGAAACAATAAAACAAAGCTTGCTTGAATGAAAGGCAACTGTGCTCATATCACTGGGATCTTATCTGTCCTTTGAGGTCAGCTTTTCAATTAGTTCCTGCAGGGGAGCTTGTTCTCTTCTGTCAATTAAGTTAAATTCCTGAAAAAAACAGAGGAGAAAAAAAGAAATATTAGTGTGTAAAATGGAGTGTGACATTCTTCCAACTTATGACGCTGCATATTATGTTATCTCATTTATTGATATTTGCAGTAATTTTGTATTGTAAACAATATTTTATATTGTTTTGGCTAGAGTATGGAGGGGTTAAATCCTTAGTCAGGTTCTTCATAATGTCTGTGCCTCAATTGGAGCAGAAAGTGATGAAAATCTCTCAAATAGGGACAGTGAAAACCAAAAACACATTTTTGGTAGAGAGAGGAAGGGTTGCAATTGCTGACAATATTTGTATTGCGGTCTGTGCCTCCCTGTCCCAGTGACACCCACCCACCAAATACTTGTATGAGTGTCACGGGGACAGGGAATGATGGAAATGTTTCCAATGGAGTCACAAACAGAAATAAAAACCTACAAAAAAAACCCTTTCCCATTCCATCTAAATAAACTTGGCTGTGTTAGAAAAAAAAAATACTCTTGCAGTGGGCCCCACCACCCAAGTGTTAAATGATCATTAAGTCTAGGGGTAGAAGAATAAGAAGCTATACTTACCTTATTCCCCACTTTGGCAGGCTCCCTCCATCCATGCGACCAGTCCCCCAAAACCTGCTTTGTAAGATGCTCCTGGCTATGGTCACATGCTTGCCTCCCCTACATTAAATTAAAGACTAATAGCCCTACGGTGTATATGATAATGGTGAGGACCTGCTCAGAGCATCAGGAAGAAGTGGAGAGTGCCGGGGCCTGCTGGAGCGGAAGTTAAGGTATGTAAAACCTACTGAAAACAGGATACTGTAAGCACCCGATCTTTAACACAATACATCAAAGATCTGACACGTCTCTGCTTATGCACTTACACTTAATTCATTCATAACCAGATTTCAGATTTTAGTAAATTGTTCGTACAAGAAATTGATGCTGAGGTGCCATAAACATTTTAGATTTAATTATTAAAGGATAAGTGCACTTTAAAACGACATGCACTCCACCCCTGGCCTAAACAATCCCACCCTTCCCCCTCCACAGATCGGTACATACCGAAATGCTCTCCCTCTGCTGGCTGCACATGCACATTAAAGCCCCATAGACTTCTATAAGACCATCTCCAAGATGGGAGACGGATGTGACCAGAAGAAAACTTGTAGTGCAGAATGACAAATAGTGGAGCAGCAGTTTATGTCAAGCAGTCTACCACTTTCTTAATGTCAAAGCATATTATTCTAGCCGTTACAACAGACCATAAGATAACTAGGCCTTTCTAGGTGCCAGCGTGAACAGAAGATACAGTTACCTGGACAAAAAATATAAAGTGCTTGAAAGATGTGTTGAGATGTGCCTCTTCCTGCAGCTGGATCACTGAGTCAAAGTGCTGGTGATAGATGTGGGCATAGACCCGGAAAAGTCGCTTCAATATGATTTTAGCTACAGACATAAAGTTCTTTGGAAAAGGAACCCCTAGAAAATATGAGCAAATGAATGAGAATGACATCACCTCTGTAAAATCTACCTAGGATTAAAATAAACATTTATGATATTGCATGTGGCATACAGATCCATACAAACAGGTTTACAATAGGGGCCTAATTTACTAAAGGGAAAAGTGAGCAACGTAAATAGAACCTGTGTTCACTTGCAACATTAAAGCATGTGTGGGGGAAATCACAAGTATAAACTTCAGCAAACACCTGGATGTGTGAAAAAAACATGGATTCATTGTGGAAAAAAATAAGTATAGAGCTTATTATTTATAATATTATTCATTATCCCATCTCCATCCAACTCCAGTGAATTTCTGGAACACTATGGAGCTGATTTACTAAAGGCAAATAGGCTGTTCACCTTGCAAGGGAATTTTCCCTTGTATCTGTTCTTACATAAATAAGCCTTTCATTGCCCTAATAAGATATATTCTCTAGGAAATCTATAAGCAAACAAGAAGACTAGATATACCACTTGGTTTTTATGTGCCACCAATATAGTGTGATTAGGCGTAGCTAGGGTTTTTTTAAATAGAGAGAGAGGGGTGGGGGGGAGGAGAGAG